AGACCCAACCGATCAGCTGGGACTCGGGAGGCAGAGAATAGATGAGGGCGGGGACAGTGATAGGTGGTAGTATTTGCTGGTTCTCTGAACTACTCAAAATTTCGGCTACCAGTTCTCCAGAACTGGTCAGAACCTGCTGAATACCACCTCTGATATTCATACTGTATCTTAATATCATTTTTGGGGTGTCAGGAAAAATATGTGCATCTTGTCTAAATACACTTCTATGGTTTTATAGTCCTTATTTCTGTACTGAAATCACAAATCGTTCCGTTTTGTTCTCCTCCAATATTTCTTAATTGCATTGGGTAATGTGGTTGCTCAGATAAAATCTGCCTGCGTGGTCATAAAGACTTAACACTGTCATGATGGTGTTGATGATTCACCAATGGTCTTGCTATTTGTGTGTATGGGTTTCTCAAAATTTCTTTTAAATATGATTTTAGATTGTTTGCAAATACTTGATGGAACATTGCAAGCTACTGACCAATCTGCAGTAGAACAGAATGGAATTAATCAAAGCAGAAGAATAACCAAAATCTTTTAAAGACTTAAATTATTATATCCATGGATAGTACCCACCTGCAGATAATCCAATGAACAAGGTACTAAAAAAGGTGAATTCAATCTCTTGTACAATATATTTACCACTCATCAAGACCGCAGAAGTAATTGCTGTAATATTAGCTACCACCAAACAGCCTTTCCTGAAAAATAAAAGATATCAAAGGAATAAGAAGCTGGAGAGAAATCAGTAAATACCTGGTATCCCCCATCAGCCACATGTAACATTTTAGGGGAGTTTGAGCCTTGTTTTCACTCCAACTTACATGGCTGTTCCTTTGAGAAGTTGGCTTGCTGTCAGGATTCCAGCAATTGTTCTAATTAAATCATGATTCTTGAGCCAAACTTCAAAAAACTTCAAAGGATTTATTAGAGGTTACATACTGGCACTGCCCTGTATGAAACCGACTCTGGCATACATAATTTACACTCACCTATCACCCTGTTTTCCCCCTCCCTCCTGGGTGTCTCATAAACCAGATTCTCCAAGTGAGCACATTCACACGCTGGGTGGCATCATCCACATTCTCCAATTAAATATATTCATGGCCAAAAGCTCTGGTATTTTAGTTACAATCTTTTAAAGATAAGAGTTGGAAGGTACTTTCGATTTCCAAGTGCTGCACTGGTCTTCCAGATTTCTTCTCCCCCATTTTTTATGGCAACTACTAAAACAGGCATAGGAATGTTTTGTGAGTTGACAGTTGCAAGCATCAGCATGGCTACGTTGCATTGAGATTTTGAAAGAAATGAATTAAAAATTTAATGAATTTTCAAAAGAGGGAGAAAATGTGGCAGCCAGCCAGAGCAGGAAATGGGCCAAGGAAAAATATCCAGATAATTTCTGAATGAGTGAGAGGTGTTGATCAGTGGTTACAGGCAGTCCTCGACATTTGACCACAATTAAGCCCAGAATTCAAGTTGCTAAGTGAAAAAAATTGTTAAGTGAGTTCCCCCCCCCCCCATTTTACAACTTGTTTTCCCCGCATTTGTTAAGTGAATCACCACAAGTTGTTAAATTAGAAACACGGTTTGTCAGCTTTGGAAGCCATATTGAGGCCAGACGTTTCCACACTGCCACATTCTTGAGCCTGGAAAAGTGGGAGGAGGGAATTTCTTGGAATGTATGTGGTTAGACATAATAGCATTCTTCTTCTAAGTCAAGGTCATGTGGTTTCTGCACCTGGGTGAAGGGAAGTCTCAAGTTGAGACGGATGGTGATCAGGGCATGTGATGTAATGATGGGTGCAGGGGATGGATTTGTAGTTTTAACTTATTCCAAGGAAACTCGGAACTTTCAAATTCGGGATTTCCTAGATGTGCCAGTTGACTACTCTAATAAAAAGAATCTTGGAAAGGATGTCTGTCTCAGAGTTATTTGTTGGAGTGGAGGTTTTCTGGAATGCTGACATGGTTGTTAAGTGAATTTGACTTTCCCATTGATTTTGCTTGTCGGAAGGTCGCAAAAGGAGATCACCTGATTTTGGGACCCAGCAACTGTCAAAAATATGAGCCAGTTGTCAAGCATCCAAATGTAAATCACGAGACCATGGGGATGTTGCAACGGTCATCAAAGTGAAAAAATGGTCATAAGTCAGTTTTTTCAAAGATGTTGTAACTTTGAATGGTCACTAAGTCAACTGTTGTAAGCATCTCTATAGTCACATGATTGAAATTCAGTAGTTGCAATTTTTTGTGGCCTATCAGCCTCTGGCCTCTCCAGCAGCCAAATCAGAGTAGGAGGAGGCAATGCGGGAGTCAGGATCAGCATCGAGGCAATCTGGGAGCTTCGTGGAGGAAGAGGGAATGGAGCTGGCAGAGAGAGAGAGAGAGAGAGAGAGAGGTGGAGCCTGGGCTGTTCATCAGTCCTAGATGGAGAGTCAGCAGCCCTCAGAACTGGAGGTGGCTGATGTGGAAGAGGAGGAACAGCTAGATCCAGTGCCTGAAGCATAGATGTGCAGAAGGCAGAGGAGAGGAGAGCAGTGGAATTCTATGGATTGGTCCTTGGGACGGAAAGCCAGTGCTGCTAGCGAAGTCCCACCCTAGCTGAATAGGTGTGGCAGACAACTGTTCCTCTCCCTCCTGGACAGACTTGTTAGCCTGTGGTGAGAGAGAAACTTTTTGCGGGGGTTGTTGGCACTCCTAATAAAGGAATCTTTGAGTTAGCTTCGGAGGGTTTGTCGTGTTTGGGGATCTGGGTCAGAACCTAATGATTGCAACATCCACGGGATCATATGAACGTTATTTTCAACCTTCCCAGCTGGATTCGGACAAGCAAAATCAATGAGAAGCTGGATTTGCCCAACGACCACGAGATTCACTCAGTAAGTGAAGTGACTCCTTCAACAACGGTGTAAAAAAGGGTCATAAAATCAGGTGTGACTCATTTAACCACCACTTTTCTTAGCAATAGAAATTCTCATCTCCCCCGTAGTCATAAATTGAGGAGTACCTCCAAAATCTAACAAATAAGCACGTGAGTACATAAACCTCTATGAAACTGAAAAGAACAAAGGGAAATAGTGGTATTTTTATGTACACAATAATATATCTAGTAATAAAGAGACCAACTGGTGCTGTGTTGATGTCACTGCCCTGGTAGCTGATGGGGCAACTGTTGCTGTAACTTTGAATAGTTGCTAAGCAAACTCTTGTAAGTAGAGAACTGCCTACGGAAGAGGAAAATCAAGAGGTAGGGCAAAAATGTGAAGTATCATTATAGATGGAACCCTTTCTTTATATAGTCACTTCATGAAAAGCTGTAATTAAAAAGATACAAACGAATACAAACTAAAAAGAAAAAGAAATTACAAAAAAGAAAAAAATAGAAAAGTACCACAATATTGTCCAATAAAACTCCTTCCTGTTTCATAATGTTTTTGAAACGCAAACATAGAGATAGATACTCTCAAGGTTAATTTCCAGAACTATTGTTCCAAAAATATCCTTCAATCTGTCCAATGCTAAAATGTTTCCTACATGCTCTATTAATCGATATGGAGTCAAAATGAAATATGAAATTAAGAAATATGGATGGAAACTTATCCAACTTATCTTAGTTCCAACCTGGAACTAAAATTTCCTGACAGTGAGAACAATTAATCTCAATCTGCAAGCTGTAGTAATGAAAACTGGAAAAAAAGGACAAAATTATATATGAAGAAGAGCAATAATGATGTTACCCCCCCAAAAGACAGTCTTAGAACTGATAATGAAGATAACAAAATGGTGGATAGCTTCTGCCTGAGGGAGGAAAGGGGATAGGATGGTGGGGGGCTTCTGTGGGGCAAGCCTGATGGAGAGAAGGGGGTAAGATTTTAGGGTCTTAGGAAAGGCTAACAGGGTTGGGGCTATTTTGATTTCCAAAAGGAATTAGTTTGTCAGAATCTTTACATTAATATCTGCCAAGCGTGCTTATCTAAACTTACTAAAGTTTGAACAGAAATCTAGTAACTATTTCAGATGCTTAAATTACTTTTTGCTGAGCGGTTGTTGTTGTTAATATTATTATTATTATTATTAAACTTTTATTCATTAAACATGAACCTCAGTCAACTGAACAATTAAAAATGTATCACAAATATCCACTTTTTCCACTTTATGTTCCCATGATTTTTCGGATACAGGTAAGTTGTGTTTTTTACATCATGACCAGTGGATTAATTTAGCAACTCGGACATGTTGCCAGTTTGGATTGCCAGTTAATTTTTGCATCTTTGCTTTCATGGAATTAGTTTGTAGTGATTTGTTCTTGAGCAGCAAGTATTAAACCTTCCATTTCTTTCTTGATGGTTTCCTTATTAAGCCATGCTCATGCCAAGTTGTTATCACATTTTCCTTCAATGTTTTCAAGTGCTGTCCATGCAAAGCTTTGGTTTTCCTTCTATTTAATCTGTCATTATTATTGTTGTTGTTATTGTTATTTAAACTTTTATTCATCAAACATGGAACAGTAAACATGAAACTCAGTCAACTGAACATTTAAAAATATATCACAAATATAATTGACGGGTGCTGATGGTTGATACAGGTTACTGCTAGCATCCTAGGTATCAAGCAAGTTGTTGTTATTGTTATTATTATTGTTGTATTATTGTTGTTGTTATTATTAGTATTACTACCTCTTTTATTCATTAAGCATGAAATTCAGTCAACTGAACATTTAAAAATGTATGACAAATATCATTGACTGGAGCTGATAGTTGATACGGGTTGTTGCCAGCATCCTAGGTATCAACCAAGTTGTTGTTATTGTTATTATTATTGTTATTATTATCATCAACGTCCTTATTATCATTATCATTTCACTATGTTAACTGGAGGGAGTGATTTATGGATAGAATGCTGGCACATATATATTACTAAATAAACCATAAAAGCAACTTACCTGCCAAGGATATCAGCCAAAAACCCAGCCATCACTGAGGAAAATATACCTCCAAGTGGGATTATAGAAACAATGATTGCCAACTCAAGTAATTTAAACTTTGGATGAGTAATCACTTGGAAAGTTATGGGGTTATAATATTCTCGCAAGAGCTAGAAGAGAAACACAAGGCATACACATGACATCAAAAACACTAGTTGGGGGACCAAATAAATTTCAGAGGGTAGTGATACCTCTGGATAAATGTTAGAAATTACCTTACAGATGGCCTTGTGGTTTATTTCATTGATAAAAGAACATTACAATTTGCTAACTCAAGAATGACGTTCATTAAAAGAAAGCCCCATTGGCAGTATAGAATATAGGAAGAGGGGGGGAACGTGGACCATGTATTCTTATGTTATCCATCTTATATGACCATCATTCCTTTTTTATTTAATAACTTTTTTTTTAGCAAAAATGAAAGTGGGAATCAGAAAGCATTTACTTACCTCTTAATAGATTAGTAACAATGCTGGGATCACCAAGCTTTGCTTAGACATATTAAGCATGTCAGCATATTAACTTGCAACATTTAGAATCAGATAGATAGATAGATAGATAGATAGATAGATAGATAGATAGATAAATCTGTCTGAGGAACATCTCTGGAATTTTTCCCCCTCCTTTGCTGGTACTTTGCTTGTGTGGAGTGACCATTCAAAGTTACAATGGCACTGAAAAAAAGTGATTTATGACCATTTTTCACACTTATGACTGTTGCAGCATCCCCAAAGTCACGAGAGGCCAGGTGAGGAGATGCGTGCCTCGATGTGAATGATATTGAGTTGGCCACATCCAGCCAATAACATGACCACCAAGCCACGCCCACCACATAAGCCATGCCCACAGAACCGGTTGTTAAAAAAAATTGAATCCCACCCCTGGCCGAATCGGTAGTTGAACTGATTGGCTGGCTAGCCAACCCTACCCTGCTCCTCCCAGGAGTCTCCACGTGGCTCATTTTGGATGCAGATAAGTGCAGGGTCCATGCAGAGGCTCTGAGAGGGCGAAAAACAGCACTCCCAGAAGTTCTGGAAGTCTGGAAATGGGCCTGTTTCTGGCTTCTGGAGGGCCTCTGGAGCCTGGCGAAGGCCGTTTTTGCCCTCCCAGAGGCCCAAGGGAAGCCTCTGGACTCGGGGGAAGGCAAAAAAAAATGCCCCCCTGGAAGTGCAAATAGACCACGCCCACCATGGCCACACCCACCAAGCAACTGGGCACAGAAGCAGTTGTTGGGATTTTTGAAGCCCACCCCTGGATAGATGATGATAGATAGATAGATAGATAGATAGATAGATAGATAGATAGATAGATAG